AAGGGCTAAAATCAACAGACCATGAGTGTGCAGTTTGTAGAATAGTTTCTGTAATTATGTTGTATGCACATGTTAATGTCAGCATGTATTAGGTGAGTATGTTGTAGTAGCTAGTAGGCTTGGGCGATCCAGTTTGTTAATTTCGTTATTCATTATTAATTCGTATTTAAATTAGCTTACGATCCAATATTGAGCCATACAGGAATAGTGTGAGGAGTAATTAAGAATCGAAACAATTTTTCCAATTTTCGTAATTATTTCGTAATTATTTCGTAATTATTTTCGTATGTCTGGTGCAAGTTTTACAATCTCGCATTTACCCCACTTCCGGTCGCTTTGCTCTGCTGCTTCCCTCATGCTTCTTCTTGCCTCACTCTGGGCTGCACTGGGCTTCCTTCCTTCCATCCTTCCTTCCTTCCTTCCTTCCTTCCAGCTGGCAAATCCCACATTCCCCCCTCCCTCCTCTTTCTCCTGGCATCCTTCTTGCCCAAAATTTCTCATTACTTTATTGTTCATACCCTCACTCTGTGCCACAGGAATGCGTTGCCAGGTACAGCTAGTATAAAATATAATATAATATAATATAATATACAATAATATATATAATATATAATATATTATAATATATTATATATATTATATATATATATATTATATATATTATATAATAATTATATATTATTATATTATATTATTATAATATTATTATATTATATTATATTATATTATTATTGTATATTATATTATATATTATATTATATTATACATATTATATTATATTATATTATATTATTTAATATAATAATAATATTATAATATAATATACAACAATATAATATAATAATATTATAATAATATAATATAATATAGTTGTTTGTTTTATCACACCAACAGTCAACAACAGAGGGAGAGGGAAGCTTCAGAAGTTCCCCCTGTCCCATTTGGAGGTTTTTTAGCATATTGCGCAATCGCGTCCGCCATTAACGAATCAATTCGTAATTTTACGAAATTTCGTATATTTCGAAATTTTTAAAAGGAAAATTTCGGAATTCTTTAAAAAAATGAAACGCAAGGGCCCCCTAAAAACAAAATGAGTTTAGAACCAAATTTTTCCGTGGTTACCCAAGCCTAGTAGCTAGCTAGATAACTGCTTAGTTTTAGTGATATATATTATAAAATTGCTTTTTTGTATTATTTTTGTTTTCTTCATTTTTGAATAAAAAATAGTTTTAAAAAGGCACGACTATACTGGGAGAGCTATGATATGGTGCAATAAGGCTGGAGCAAAGTCAATATTTTGCCACTGCTATAATCATATAACATTGTCATTTGACATGCATGGTAAGTTTCCATTAATTTCTGAGTTCAGTTGAGGTCTTCTGGGATTAGAAGTCCAAAACATTTGGAGTTCCTTTCCATACTTCAGAATTGTTCGCCACCAACACCGAAATTGTAGTTGGTATTGTACTAGTATGTGGCATAGAGCATTCAGGAATAATAAAGCCAACTACCTATATCATTTTTCTGTTACAGAAACTAAAAAGAAGGTGGTCAGTCATGGTAACAAGATGTCTCATGATGAAATGAAATGTCCTGTATATATGATGATGTTTACATTGGGTATATTATGCTAAAGCCTTGTGTTAAACATGCTGATAATAATGTGCATTGAATGGTTTACAATAAGTGAAATAGTGGTGATGGCTGGTAACCTACTGGAAATTCTAAGGTGCAATGGTGGAAATTCAGCAGTTAGCTGTCATCAAAGAGTTTGCAATTCCAGCTATGGTAGGTTACTCAGAGAAGGATTGGTGTTACTTATCAGAGGAGGAATGCATACGTAACTGTAACACCTAACAAATCATACATAATAAGTTTTATTTACAGTCTTTCTAATCAGAGAACATAGCCCTGTTTCAGATTATGAGTGCCCAACAGTCTCCATTTTTACAGCCTCACAAAAATCTCAGACTATAAAATCAGGAAACGTTTTAGCAGGTCAGTCTGTTCCTTGAAGAGAACTGGAATTGATCTGTCTGAGGTATCACTGTATGTTCCAAGATCTACACATCACTCTTCAAAGGGCAAACCACACAGTTTCCAAACCTGCTCTGCTCAGCCAGATCTTGCCATTGGACTCAGGTGTGAAAGTCACTCATAGAACCCACTCTTTCCCCTCATTGCTTGTGGTTCTGTAGTAAAGTATCTAAGTTATGGGATCCAATCTTTTCTGAAATATGTAATATTATTATAAAAACATTTTACAGTGATTCTAAGGCTGGCCATCTTATGCTTTTTTTGAGGAGAAAGTACATAATTAATTAATAAATAAATTTTATTCCTACCCCACCACCAACTTACCGAAGGGACTCGGGGTGGCTAACAAAATACAGCAAAGTGCCGCATATAAACAATCATAAATCTAAATTCATAAAATCATAAAATTACAATCACACACAAACAGGACTGTAGCTAGAAAAAAATTTCAGGGAGGGTTGAAAATTTCGGGGGGCTGAAGCCAAGAGCAGAGCAGGGGTAGAGAAGCCTTCAATAGCCTGCAGCTCCACCCCTGTCAACCACCTCCACCAAGTCTGGCCTCCTTAATGAGAGCATTCAACACCCCCCCCCCCAAACTTGGTTGCTTCGCTACATTGGCCAACAATAAGTCCTCAGACTAACCCTAAAAATCTACATAAGATCAAAGGCTTGTTTAAAAAGCCATGCTTTTAAACTGTAATGGAAGGCTTAAAGTGAGTGGGGTAACCTAATCTCCCTAGGAAGGGCAGTCCAGAGCCAGGGGGCCAACACCAAGAAGCAACCATATTTGTGAGGGTGGTGGGACCAAGAGAAGGGCCTAACTGGTAGATCTCAGAGCTCACACTGGCTCGTAGAAAGGGATGTGGTCTCGAAGATAAGTTGGATCCAACGTGTATAAGGCTTTATGGTTAATAACCTGCACTTTGAATTGTGCCCAGAAACTTACTGGAAGCCTATAGAGCTGTTTTAACAGGGGCATAGTATACTCCCTGAAGTTAGCTCCAGTTAGCAACCTGGCTGTCAATCTTTGCACTAATTACAGCTTCTGAGCATTTTCAAAGGCAACCCCATGTAGAGCCCATTACAGTAGTCCAATCTGGATTCAACTAAGGTATTGACCACTGTGGCCAAGTCAGACTTTTTGAGGTACAGTTGCAGCTGGCGCACCAGTTTTAACTATGCAAAGGCTTTCCCAACCACCACCGACACCTGTGCTTCAAGCATCAGCACTGAATCCAGGAGGACCTACAGACTGCGGACCTGTGTCTTCAGGGGGAGTGTAACCCCATCGAGTACAAGTTGCCACCCTATACCCCGATCGGCCTCATGACTGACCAGGAGGACCTCTGACTTGTCTGAGTTAAGCCTCAGTCTGTTGGTTATCATACAATCACTCACAGCTGCCAGGCACTAGTCCAAGATCAGGGGGCTTCCTTGGAATGAGGTGGAAGACAATAGTAGAGTTGTGTGTCATCTGCATAGAGATGGCACCCAACTTCAAAACTCTGAATGACCTCACCCAGGGGTTTCATGTAGATGTTCCAAAGCATGGAGGAAAGAATAAAACCTTGCGGGAACTCGCAGGTTAATGACCAGGGGTCCAAGCAGGTAACCCCCACATCACCATCTGAAAATGATCCTCCAGGAACATGACATTTATTTGTCTTGGGGTTTTTTATTTTTGTAAATAGATTATTTTATTTAGGTACTGATACTAGAAACTAGAACCAGCCAGTTTAATAGTAACATATCAGAACTTGGGGGAAAGGGAGGGAAGTACTCTTTCTTATCTTAATTCTGAATTCCTCGCAGTTATTGAGATTTTATTCCAAAATACAGGATACAGCCTTACCATCAGGCCATAGACCAGGCCTGGCTATTTGCGTACCTAGCCACTTCAGCTTTCTGTGCCCCCCACTCCTCTCCAAGTGGTAGCTGAAATGATAGTAACTGAAGTTGAGTTGTGCCTGCAAAGCAAGGCTTAAGTCACTAAACTGCAGGCAAGCTGATGCATGCTATGAATGGTGTTATTCATAGCATAAAAATGAGCACCTTTGGAACCTTTTTGAATCTTTTATATTGTTCATTTCCTTTTCCGTAACTAGAACAAGTAGATCCAGTTTTATAAACAAAGTGGGTTTTGCTCAAACAAGCATTGTTTGTTCTTGAAATAGCATTTTTAATATTGAATTTGTCACATCACCATACTCTCCAGTTTCTATGGCTGTTCACATACACAGTTTAACTGTAGAATAGTTTTTCTCAACCTGTGCTCCTCCTTTTGGACTTCAGCTCCCACAGTTCCTAACAGCTGGTAATCTGACTGGAATTTCTGGGAGCTGAAGTCCAAAACACCTGGAGGAACACAGTGTAAGAAACACTGCTGTAAAGGTCTGTTCCTAGGCTCTTCTATCCATGTATTTGAGAAAATAAACTCAGTGTATGCATACAAAAAATTATGCTAGGAATTTTATTTTCTTGGACCCCATCACATTGAGGTCCCTAGTGTGGGAGACAGTGTGAGAATTCACAGAGCAATATGGCAAATCTGCGGGGTAGTGGGGGGAACTTTCATGCGACATCCCGCATTGTCCACATCACCCCTTTCCCCATCATATTGGGGAAAGTGTCGCAGCCTGGCTTCCCCCCATGCTGGCCCTGCTCTAAGTAATGAGAACACTAAAAGCCTCCTGTGTTCTCTGGGCTCTATCTTAGGACATATCCAGGAGGGAGCCCCGCAAAAAGTAGCCCTGCATCATTTGAAGGGCTCTATACTGACTTTTCCTGGAAGCGTCCTAGGATGGAGCCAGAATTCAATGTGATGAAGTCATCAGTCTCAAGGGTGCTACAGGATCCCCTTCCATACTGATCTTCTGGAATAACACAGATATGTCTTTGATTGGACTGTATATTTTATTTCAACTCGTTTTTAAAAAAGATAATCATTTCATATTTTTCTTTACTTTAAAAATACCCAGTTTAGTTCTTATGTGTCCTAAAAATGTAGCTGCCTGGATAATATTGTAGCAGTGGGATTCTAGATTATGTTCCAGATATCCTTAGATTGGTGAACTTCCTTGATCACCTGAACATGCTTCATCCATTGTCCTCTCCATTCCATCCCAATACAGTATGATCTGAGCAGGAGTGTTGTAATGGCTTGTGATTATTTTCTTATAACAACAAGGAGAAAATGGAACATTGCTGGCAAAAAAAGTTGGCTGAGAGTCTAGTTCCTCTGGCTGAATTTTGATTTCAACAAGGCACAGACCCACAAAGACATCCTCCAGTTTCAAGAAGGGGATGTTTTTTGAAACAACATATACTTCTCTTGCAACATCAGTAGAGAGAACATAACCAGTTCCGGAAGCAAATGGAGGGTAATTCTCTCCTGGATATTCCTCTTTACTCACATACCATTTACTCTTTGCATCTCTTATGGGATGTCCATGCATTTTGTTAGAGCCTGTAAACAATTTGGTGGTACTGTTTCTTTTCAGGAGAAGTTCAGTCAAGTAATAAGTATTAACAAACATGTCACAGTCAGTTTTCATCACAAAGGTAGACTGTGGACAGAATTTATGGATCCATTCAAGACCCATCAAAGTCTTTAAAGTTAAGTTATAATATGTGTCCATAAAGTCCTTCTGAATGATGTCTTTATATAGTATGTTTTCGGTAATAATACCAATCTGGTCATAGGGCCGTGAATTATTTCCCAGGAGAAAATATGTCACAATACGTTTGCCAGCTATTCTTCTTTCTTTGCCCCATGTACTGCAAATAGCCATCCGTGCTTCCATTTGACCAAGTCGTGATGTTACCAGTATTACTAGGAATGGTGCATTCCTACTGCAATCTATCTCAGGCAGCTTCAGAAAGTCATCACTGTTTCTCCTGAAACCTGCCATGTCCTTTTGATATAGGTTGCAGATACTGCTGGAATCCCACAGAACTGACAAAATCAGAAAAATAATGCCCAGTGCAAAAATAAAGAAGAAGGCTTTTCTCTTGAAGGCCATCTGAAAGAGAGGGAAAAATAAGTATTATCCCTTTTAACTTCTTTGACTGGTATACAGTTGACCCTCTGTATGTGTGAAATCTGCATCCACAGATTCCATCATCCATGTCTCGATTTAAAAAAGCATCCAAAAATGCAAGCCTTGATTTTGACATTTTATATGCAGTACTATTTTACTATGCCATTGTATATAATGGAAATGTTGGTATCTATATTACATCATGGAGTCATAGATACCATGGGCCCACTATACAAGATTATTGCCATATAATATGAGTACAAATTTTGCACTAAAAGCCATTCTGTACACCTTGATAACTACCACTGATTTCTACTGTATGCTGATCTTTAGATTAATTGATAGTTTTGCTCCTGCAATTTCACTCTCATAATAAATGGATATAACCTCCATGCCTATTCACAATGTTCTGTTCATAGAATTATCAGTCTCACAATAATACTTGTGGGGCAAAATCGGGTAATGTTTTACCAGTAACTCCAAGTGTGTATTAAGGAAAATGTCTAAGGAATTATCTCTCAGAACTAGATGAAACCTACCAGGTCTCCAGAATTGGCAAAAGAAAGTTTATTTATTTTGAGAAAAATATAAGAGACTCTGGGAGTCTTGGGAGGAATCTGAAGACCGCCTTGGGGACCATATCTAGTGCTTGCAACATACTTTACTCATCCTGGTATAAGCACTAAGAGGCAACCTCAGTCCAAATTTCATATAATTCCGTTAAGAAACACCTGACAAAAACTACAGTGAGCAAACCATATCCACAGGGGTTCTGTTTCAGGCCCTGTTGCATATATACAAATACATCGACCATCATGACCCATATTATTAAATGTTGGCAATCTGAGTATACATGCTTCAGCACACCCATGTTCACATTACCAGCATTTACTAATATGGGGCACACATGTCAACTGCCATTAGGAAACACAGATCAGGATCAGGTTTATCCAAATGGGCCACTCTAGTTAAAATATTTCCATTTGTTATCAGGATTTTTTCCCTGCCTGTTTCTTTTCTTGATTCTTTCTTGCTAAGGGGTATTTTTCTCTTTCCTTTTTTCCTTAAATACATCCAATGAAAATTTATTTAACTCTTGTCACATAAACACTGTACATCTCCAATGATGTGGGAATAAAGGAGCAAAAAAACACATTTTTAAACATCCAAGAACTTTGAATAAATAGCCAGAAAATTAAAAAACTATTGGCATTTATTTATTTATGTCACTATGAAGTTAATTTTACAATTAGGTTTATGCTGAAATTTTCACTGAAGCCCATCACTGTAGTTAAAAGTGAATATAATTATGCTGCTCCTTTTTGTTAGTAAATTTGTGAAATAATTTCTGATTGTAATTGCATTCTATCAAATAGAAAAACAATTTTAGTCTATATCATGTGGTACAGTCTCTTGAGCATTGGACCAAAATTCTGTAGAACAGGGATAGTAGCTCCATTCAGTAACAGAAACCGAATGGGTGATCTTGGTCTTCTCAGCCTCAATATAAGGCAAAGGGACACTGCCCTTTGAAAAAAAATTACCAAGAAAACCCCATGATAGATTCACCTTCAAGTTTCCACAAGTTGGAAATAATTTGAAGGCAGGCAACAGCAACAATAACTTCTACGAGCTAGGCATTTAAAAGTAAAGTACAAAACATTGTTTTTTACTGTTGCTATTTCACTCCAACTGATGGTGACACTTTTCAAGTGTTATGAGCAATAGGTGCAAACCTGGAAGATTTCAAAATACTTTTATAGACAACTTCAGAATATTGAGAATTGTTGTTTTGTGAAAGAAAATTAATAAAATAATTTACTATTAATTTGGGTATTTTTAAGTCTTCTGGTCTTAATAACAAACTGCCAAGGATGATAGAACTTCTAGTTCAAAACACCTAGAGGGCCATGGATTTCCCCAGCTCTGTTTATATTCTGGTATCCACGACTACAACCTGTACGTAGCCATTTTATAAAGCAAATCACATTGAACCCTGAAAGGCAATGTTTCCTGCTATTTGATTGTACAGTCCTATATATATCCAAGAGTTGCCAGGAACTTCATAATAAGTTTGAAAACATAACAATAATCTCAACAAAAAAAAGCCCAAACAAAGCAATATTGTTACAAGATACACTAGAAGCAGCAGACAAGCAAAAACATGGGTTGCAAGCACAACAGAAAATGTGGTAAATCAGTAGCATACAGAAAGATATAGTGGTATAAAAACTAATGCTGTGGATAACTAGAACTGCAGATAAGAGGATCTGTGCCTGGCGAGTGTAAGCTAAACTAGATAGGCCAGGACAGAGAAACTCACCTGGTTGAAGACAAGCCACAGAGGTTTAATACAGTTTAGCCACAAAGGATGCAAGTACAGAAATTGGCTTCAAAATTTACAAGCATAAGCATGCATGGAAATACAATACATCTTATACAGTTCTGACAGCTTTGATCTCCATTCCTTGATTGACCAGAAAAAAGGCTGGCTAGGATGAATGCTGGAATTCACTGGGAGGGAAAATGGCAGCCAGCAATTGGTCAGAGTGAAGGACCAATCAGCTGGAATGACGTTCCCAGGAGGGCATAGTCCTGGCAAAACAAATGGTAAAGATGTATTGATCGCTTCTGATGAGCTGAAAAGTCCAGTTCTGTGCCACACAAAGATAGCAGTTTCAGAAAAGAAAGGTGCAGAGCTCCCAGAAGAAATTGAGATAATCTTGGGCAATCAAAGACTTGGCTGTTGATAAAGAGGTGTAACATATTCTAAGCCTCTGTTTCTGTGGGAAGCATTCTCTCGGCTTCAGGTGAACCATATCTAGACAAACAGATTGTCTGAGCTCACAGGGAACTCACCCATCTTGGCATATTTAAAAAAAACAATCAATTGTGAGGATTTCCTGTCTGGGAAACAGCCAGAAGGATTTTCCTAACCTTCCTTGTTATCAGGGAAAAACCTCAGTCGGGTTACTATGACCTTCTCTGAGCTACATCTTACTACATTTTATAGAGAAGCTTATACATTTTATATAAAAGAAATAGATGCAGTACACAAAAAGTTACAAGAAAAATAGATACAATTTATTAAAGGATTAGATATGTTAGAGTTTACAGCTGGTGGTGGTTTGGTCTTGATCTTCTGGTGCTTTGAACTTTCTCGAGTCCAGAAAGCGTCTTTTTTTTAAAAAAAGGAAAAATCATATATTTATGTCTAAGCCCTTGGTGAACTAGAAATCTTCCTGAGTTGGGGCGGTGGGATATCATGGCTCGGCAACATTAACATATCAGTATTTATTTACACTTCATATAAATGTTGTTATTCGGCCTTGTAGTTCAGAATCCAATATGTATGGATCCAAATAAAGTAGTGTTTCTACATACACATACATTATATATATAGCCCTTCTATTCAGTTTGACTTGTTTTGAATAACATAAAAATGCTTATGTAAAGCCTTGTCCATTTAAGAGCACAAATGGCATTTGTTGCATTAGACACCAAAAAGGCATTTGATAATTTAAGGTGGGAATTCTTTCATACAATAGCCAGAGAACTGGACTTAGGCTTTAACTTCAGAACTGGACTTAGGCTATTTATAGTGAACAGAGTGCGACTTTATGGATAAATGGACTACCATCAAAACAAATAACAATTGGAAAGGGTACGAGACAGGGATGCCCTCTTTCTCCTCTCATATTCATAATGACATTGGAAATATTATTGAAAGATATAAGAGACAATAAAAAACTACCTGCCCCCAAAGTAGGAAAGCAAGCACATAAATTTAGAGCATTTGTGGATGACCTAATTTGTATTATCGAAGATCCGCGAGAAAATATTAAAAATTGGCTGGAAAAAATAGAAGATTATGGGAATTTAGCAGGATTCAAGATAAATAAAGAAAAAAAAGATTCTAACAAAAATATATATCGAAGAGGAATCAAGATATATTAAGGGAGGACACAGGAATGCAAGTCTCAGCTAAGATAAAATATCTAGGAATACAATTAACTGCAAAAAATGCCCAACTGTTAAAGAATAACTATGAAACAAACTGGAGTGAAATCCAGAAAGATTTGAAAAATTGGAATAATCTAAATCTATCTCTTATAGGAAGAATAGCAGCCATTAAAATGAATGTTCTACCAAAATTGCTATTTCTTTTCCAAAACTTACCGATAATACGAGCCTGGCATTGGAGTCCCAATGGCTCATTGTGCTGGGGGACTTCAACATGCACGCTGAGGCCACCCTATCAAAAGCGGCTCAGGACTCCATGTCTTCCATGGCAACCATGGGGCTGTCCAAATGGGTATCTGGCCCTACTCACAGTGCTGGTTACACACTAGACTTGGTTTTCTGTCAGGGATGGGAGGAAGATGGTGGTGTGGAGGAGCTGATCATCACTCCATTGCCATGGAACGACCATCACCTGATCAGGTTTAGACTCACTGCACCCCCTAACCTCTGCAGGGGTGGAGGACCCATTCAGATAGTCCACCCCAGGAGGTTTATGGATTTGGACGGATTCCTGATGGCTCTTGGGGAATTTCCCATCACCTCAGCTGGTGATCCTGTTGATACTCTGGTCACTCTGGAGTGGGGTGATGGCTAGGGCAATAGACACGATTGCTCCGGAACGTCCCCTCTCAAGTAGCCGAGCTAAATCAGCTCCTTGGTTCAACGGGGTTCAGCAAGGAACTGTCAGCGATGAAGCAAAGGAAGAGGAGACTAGGAGTGGGCCAAATCGAACATGGCTAGATGCCCTCTTAAGGGCATATGCCGTGGCAATTAAAGCTGCACAGAAATCCTTTCTGGCAGCCAATATTGCATCCGCAAGGAGCTGTCCGGTGGAGCTGTTTTGAGTTGTCAGAGGCCTATTAAATCCCGCCTCTCAGGACGGGAGCCCTGACAACTCAGCAGCTCGCTGTGAAGCATTTGCTCAGTTATTTGTGGACAAAGTAACTTTGATCTGTTCTGATCTGGACACCATGTTAACAGCAGTCTCTGAGGATGTAACACGAGCAT